CATGCCTATTTCCAATTTTCTTTCTTTTTCTCAAAAACTTCAGGCTTTTTCTTGATTATGTCTGGTCCTGCTTTGATGACTGGCAAATCTAAAATTAGGGCTAATATACGGTATCTTGAAGGCAAAAATCCAAGTGAGTGCTAGAAGGCAACAAAGATTTTCCAAAATGTAAAGTGCAAATATGGTAGCTCTGCTGAAATAAAAGATTAGCGTTCAAGTCAGGGTCACATGAATAATTAAATTCTTACTCAAAATTCAGTCAGGATTTTTCCAGATGAAAATGTTAAAACAAAGGGTTATCAAAAATATATTACAGAAGTCCTTATTTAAAGAACAACAGGGGAAAACCCATATGTTTAATTGTGAAACTTTTGATTACACTGCATTGAGATGACTCTCTATCCAAATTTTGGGTATTTTCCATTTCTGGGGGTGTGGGGGAACCCTCTGGAAAGCCACTGGCAGTGAGGGTAAACAATTTCAGCTAAATTTATCTATTTTAATATACCCACAAGGATCTGATCTTGTGCTTCTAACAGCTGTTCATCAGTAGATATTCGCAGGTTATACCAGTTACCTCCCTGCTATGAACAAAGATTAAAGATTTGCTAAAGGCAGAAAAAGACATACATGTTTTTTTCTTGGTGGTTAGCAAACTTCTATGTTAGAATTACTATTCTCAAAATCCAAAAAACAGCAAGTCCAAAGAAGTTTTAAATTTTCAGAGTTATCTCAGATCACATGAAAAACTCAACGAAATTGAGAATTTGTAATTGTAGAAAGGGCTTGGAACTCCATTATTCATAGGAAAAATAGTTGCACAAGGCTGTGGGGGGCAAGGACAGCTCTGATTATCAGTATTTTTTCCAGAAAGGGGTTCTGTACCATTAGCAATTACATGGCAGAAAGAGGCTTGTAATTTGAAGTTATTCACACTACAATAAAAATCACTTCTGCTGAAATGTGATCTAATCACGAGCCAACTAAAAATGTAGAACGTCTTAATAGAAAGTTAAGCTGGTATCCAAGATGATCATAAGCTCTGGATATATCATATCCATGTAAGATTATAACTGTAACCTAAAGATACATCATATAGCATGGAAGGATATTCAATTTTGTCAATTTCCCTCCCTGCTATATGACTTAGAGGGAAAATACTGATTGTAACTGGTCACTCTCAGATATGGACTTTTAGATGATGACTAAGTACCAGTAATTTGATTATTTCACTAACTTCAAGGTCAAGAACAGAAAACAAACTACATTAAGGTTTAATGTGTTATATAAGCCAGGTCTGTGAAGTTTATATCCAGATTTCCACATAATCTAATGTGGAAATTTTGGATTGATCTGTAAACTTTCATGGACCCCCAGTCTATGAAGGAAAGTTTATCCTGTGTTAGAATTAAATATACTGATTTAGTATTCATGGTATTTATAATACTAATACTTATTAATTTATAATAATATAGACATAACCTTGGGGGAGGTGAATTTTACACAGCAATGATATCAAAGAGAAATGAAAGATAGCAAGAAAGAGGCCAATTATTAACTGTAAACATTCACAAAACAATTATTAGGTAGTTAATAATAAACATAGGCTGCACGTGTATAAATGACCAAGGCAAATGTAGTTTGCCTCTTTACGGCTTAGCATATTCTGTGAACTATGCCACAATACTGTGGGTACACTGATTTTATCACACAATATATGTTAAAAGTTTTTGTCCTTATTCAAGCCACAGGAAATAAAGGGATATCCAGAAACATTTTTCTTTTTTAAAAAATCATTAAAACGTCATAATCAATTTGTGATAAGGAACTATTAATACAATGTGTTGTTTGACAAGAAATACGTTTTGCAATGTGTCTGTAGCATTCTACTATTTGTTACGCTGAAGCAACCTGCTTCTAAAAGTACATTTTGAGGTACCTCTGAAGAGGACTAAAACATATAGAATCTCATTTGCCTAGAGAGGTTGGCATCATGCTGGGTTTTTTCCCCTGAAGCACTAGCATTTTTGTGGAAACCTATGGCACATGCTGATTTAATCTGACCAGCTGGGTTAAGTAATCTTCCTTTTGCTTGTCAAACTGAAACGCATCCTGCCCTTCTCTAGCTGTCTCACCCAAGCGGCCTGTCCCCACAAGCTCTGCTCTCTTTCAGGCTTTTCACTGCATCCGCCCTTTAGGGACGATCTCCCTGCTTAAAGTCTGAGCTCCCGCTTAACAGGAGCAGGCAGGACAGCTTGTTAATGGTGATAGAAAGGAAGGGAAAGACAAAACTCACCTTGGTTCTGCATCAAGTGCCTTTCCCTCATAAGCAGAGGAGGTTGACAGCTGTAGATCTTTATTGACTTGTTTTACTGTAAAGGGCTGGGCAAAATGCTATGAGGCAGGAACACAGGCAACATTACACCAATAAAAATCCTTCTGAGATTATTGGTAGGGAGGAGACATGTGCATGCTGTGTGTGTGTGTGTGTGTGTGTGTGTGTGTGTAAAAATAAAACTTGTGAAATCGTCTAAAATTGATTCTAAATACCCCAAGCAATGTGTTTCTTTTAGCCATACAAGTATTGCAAGAAGTCCCAGCAATGAAAATCCAAGTGAAGCCATCACTTTTCAAAATACAGGGAATGCCAGATTCCAAAAATTGTCTGGGTTTGCACAATTAATTAGGATAATTCAGTTGCCTGGCTTGCGTCTTATAAGTGCACATTTGTTGTTGTTAGTTGCGAAGTCGTTTGACCCATTGCGACCCTATGGACAATGTTCCTCCAGGCCTTCATGTCCTCTACCATCCTCTGGAGTCCATTTAAACTCATGCCTACTGCTTCAGTGACTCCATCCAGCCACCTCGTTTTCTGTCGTCCCGTTCTTCTTTTGCCCTCAATCTTTCCCAGCATGAGGCTCTTCTCCACTGAGACCTTCCTTCTCATTAGGTGGCCAAAGTATTGAAAAGTGCACATTTAATGTTATACAAATTCAGTCTGTAGTTGCACCATGCAAACACATTTCAGCCTAGCTTGTATGAATGCAACCTATGGAATTATTTAGTTATTATGTGACACCCCTCCCCAAAACTGAGTGAATTATGGATCAGTTAACTATGGCTAAGAGTCTTATGCAATCTTGACATTATCTTTCTGGGTGTACATTGTTTATCCCACTTACACAATGGCAGAACCAGTAACAAGTGTTATTGGTGTTGGCAGTCAGCAGGTTCAGGAGGAACAACCTGGCTTTACTAGTGCTTACATAGGCTTATAAGCCACCAACCCTTCGGTGTACTGGAGCAAATGTCACATGACTCATACCAGGAAATGAAATCAAAGAGCCATGCTATGGAAATGTTTTTTGGCCAATGTGTGGCTTCAGCTAAGTGCTTTACGGGCAGTGTGCAGCCCCCTCTGTGAGCATTATCAACAGGAACCCTTGTCTTCCTCTGAAGCAAATGCAGAGGTCACTCTGATAGGCCACCATACAAATCAGACAGATGGAAGCAGTACCTACAAGGTGCCAAGTTGGTCCCATGGTTCTTGAAGAAGGGAGCTGCCTCATGAAACCCTATGCCTTTTAATAAAATGGGTTCATCACAAAAGGTGCCATCAGGCTCCTCCACATATTTTTGCCACCATAGACTAACACACCTTTCCTCCCGCAGTGATGTTTTAGGAAGAACCAACATAATTTCTCTGAAAGTGACAAGTAGCAGGGCAGGTGGAGACTAAGTTGATCGTGTGACTATTTGTAAGCAAAGACTACTGTAGAATAATTGCTATTTATGCCAATTCAAAAGTTAGTCACTGCGAATATAATGGAACTTCTGTCAGAAACAAGGGTAGGGATCCTGTGATTCTCCAGATCTTCATAGCCAGCATGGCTAATAGTATGGGAAACCGAGGACTGTAATTCAGCAACATTTACAGAGCCACAAGTTCCCTTCCTTTGTGGAGAGGCTAACCAAAGGCCAGTATTTTCCAACCTCAGCAACTTTAAAATATGGGTACTTCGACTAAAAGAGAAGCCAACATCACCACTCCGGTCTAAAAACCATAGTTTTCAGTTTGTTTTAATCTACTGTAATTTTAATCTATAATTGTTTTTACTTCCATTATGTTTTAATATAAGCCACTCAAGAGTCCCCTCGAACTGGGAGATGAGTGGCATCTAAATTTGATAAAAGATTAAAAATAAACTCCCAGAATTTCCTAGCCAGCATGGCCATGGCTAAACATTCTAGGAACTGAAATCTACACATCTTAAAATTGCTGAAGTTGGGAAACACAGTCTTAAAAGGAAGACTGGCAGCCTCTTCGAAATCTCTAGAAGGCTGATAGCAATTCAAGCCATTCTACCCATTCAGATCTGGACAGGTAAAACGTTACCAGTAGTCCTTGACTTACGACCACAATTGAAGCCCCAAAAGTTTCATTGCTAACCAAGGCAGCTGTTAAGTGAGTTTTGTCCCATTTTACAATCTTTTTTTGCCTCAGCTAAGCAAATCATTGCAGTGTTAAGTGAACCGTGCAGTTGTTAAGCAAATCTGGCTTCCTCCATTGACTTTTGTCAGAAGCCAGCTGGGAAGGTTATAAATTGAAGACCTGGCTCTTCCAACAGACGGGCCTGGGTTGATTCTTAACTGATTTTGTAGCTTTTTAAATTCTTAAATCTTACATTTGAATTGGTATTCCCACGTTTAATCTTATTTATTGGCTATTCTGTTTTAATTTGTCTTTTAACTTTTGTATTTTCTGTTTCTTATTGTTGTGAGCCGCCCCGAGTCCTTCGGGAGAAGGGCGGCATATAAATCCAATAAATAAATAAATGGTGATCACATGATCCCAGGACAGTGCAACTGTCATAAATCCATGCCAGTTGCCAAGTGCCTGAATTTTGATCACGTGACCAGGATGCTGCAACGGTCATCAGGGTTGAAACAAGTCATAAGGAACTTTTTTCAATATGTTGACCCACTGAACCAAAGCAATGTGATGTCATGTATTTTATTTCACAGTCTCAGCAAACCAAAAGATAACCTTGCATTCAAGAGAGCCATTTCACATCCATATATAACAAAATTTCTCCAAAATACATACTGATTTTTCATATAACAATTTTGTCACATCACTTTCATTTAAATAGCAAATCTAGGGAAAAATGCATGGCTTTTTTAAAAAATATATTATAGGTCAGCTAGAAACCATTTGCAAAAACCATACAGTACTAAAGGAACCTAAAATATGTTGTAGTCAGTCTGCAAACCTAGTTATCAGTTAGATGGCGTTTCAGTTTCTAGAGGAAAGAGCGCTGCAACCCTTTTTGCTGAAAAAGCATTTGAATTTTTGTGTTGCAGTACTTCCAACCTGAACTGAGATGGCTGTCTCTCAAGTCTACAAACGTGTAGCAAAGTGCTCAGAATAATGCAAATGGGTCATAAATAAGTCTGCTTGCTCACAAATTTTAATAAAAGCGAAATATTTGTGCTAAGTCAGGGAAGCAAAAACTAAGTATTGCAGAAGCATGCAGAAAAACCATCCTATTCTGCCCCCGTCTTGTTACCGGATGCTGTGTTTTGCCCCAGGACAATCTGGAGCAAAAGTCAGGAAGCAATTTGTATCTATTGCCAAGTGGGAGCGCGCGGACATGCGCCCAAAGTTGGAAATAACCGGCGCTGCTTCAAGCACTACATAGAACTGAAGCAACAGTGAAAGAAGGCCCAAGTTTGTGGGGACGGGGTTTTGGGGTTTTTTGTTTTTTTTTGTATTGTCAGTACTGGAAATGGCAATTTCAAGTATTTTTACTATCAAGGGCAGTAAGGATATACAGTTTTACAGCAGTTTTTTATCTATTTCATTTCAGAATTAAACCAGATTCAAAGTTAAAGAATGAAGAGTAGATTTTCCTTGGTTTAGACCAGTGGTTCTCAACCTGTGGGTCGGGACCCCTTTGGGGGTCGAATGACCCTTTCACAGGGGTCGTCTAAGACCATTGGAAAACACATATTTTCAATGGTTTTAGGAATAATTTTATGGTTGGGAGTCACCACAACATGAGGAACTGTATTAAAGGGTCGCGGCATTAGGAAGGTTGAGACCCACTGGTTTAGACAGATGAAGGGATGCCAGCACTAGAATTTCAACTGTTCCGATAAGTTTCCAAAATCTTTGGAAGCCATATGTCTAAAGACCTACTGCCGTAGAAAATTCCTAAAAAACCTACCTCATATCCCCCCTCCCCCACGTTTTGTTTCAAGAAAAGAATTTTGCCTGATTGTGATCTGAATATGGCGTTTTACTCATATGAATTATACTTGAGGAAATACACAAAGCCCTAGAAGGCTTTGACTTTTTTTTCTATTTTTTTTTTAGCAAAGCCTTTGAATTTATCAAGTTAAACCAAAGAGTTATTGAAAGGTAATCTGATGTTCACCACACACAGTGAGTGTGCTGGGTGAAAGCCATAAACCTGCTCCTTCAAGTTGCAATACACTCAAAATTAAAGGAATAAAATCTGTGCAATATTAAACTAAACACATAAATAAGCTTATATATGACTTATCTTCTTTCTTAGAAACCATATCACCTACTACTAGGACGATCAGCCATTTGGTCAAATCAACTACCCTGTTAACTCTAGAGGTAAAGATGCTTTCCTGGCTAAAACTGTGCAGCCACCACTTTGTTACGGTAAAACTGAAAAGAGCCAAGGTATTAAGAGAGTAGACAAGACTGTCCGTAGTGTGAAGCATTTGTGCTACCATACATGCATCTTGTAGAAGAAATGGCAGAAAATCCCATTGTCCAAGTAGAATCAAATGTCTAATACATGCTGTCAAATTTGTCAGAAGATCAGTGAACTTCCTTAATCAGAGGATGGCAGGGTTCATGCAACGAAGAACCAATCAAAAGATCACAGAGATAATTTTCTTCTGAAGCTTCACCGTGAATGAGCTGGGCAGCACCTAAAATATCAACACCTACCAAATGCAATAGCTGTTGATAAGTTTCAGCTGAAGTAGTCTTTCTTCAAGAAAGAATGTTCTCTGGGACAATTAAAAGGTGGGATAGGGAAAAAGACTCCTTCATTACATCTTACAGAGGAGAACAATGTTTAAGTGTCTGTGCATTCCCAAATCCAGGAAAACGTTAGAAACACTTTCCTACTGGCACATATATCTGTCATTTCTGTCCATGAGAGATACATGTACGGGGGTGGGGTGGGGGGGAGAGGAGAGACAAGGTGGCTCTTATCGCTGTCATATCCCTAATCAATTTTTAGCCATATGGCAATAAAGGATGCAACATGTGATGATGGTTTTCTATTGGGTTTTCTTGTCCTCTGGAGGAAAGTAAGGAGGTGGAGGAGGCTGGTCCTAAAATGTACGAGAGAGAAAACAACAACAACTTCAGTTTATTATTACATGTATTTCAACTGCAGAGCATTTCTTATGCTTTAGATAAATAATAAGATATAAATTAGACTTATACTGCATGAACCATGTTAGTGAATTGATGAGGGGGGGGAGGGGTGTTCTCTTGTACTATCATGTAATTTTCATGAGATCTATTTTAGGCACCATTTATGTCCTGTCATCTACTCTTGCCTTATTGGTATCGGGCAGGGTTAAATAAATGAATAAGGCTCCCAAATAATTAGGGTCATGTGCTAAAAGTGTTCATGTAATATATAGCAATATATAGATGTACGAAGCTATTATGTACAAGTTGGAAGATTATTTAAGGCAGGGGTGTCACTCAAGCCCGTGGGTGCTTAGATCTGGCCCGCAGGGCCGCCCTGAAAACAGTGAAGGACCAGCCCAGGGTGCCTCTGCAGAGAGTTGCAGGAGACCATTGCAGCTGAAAACGGACCTTGGGAGCCTGTTTTCGCTGGCAGAGCGCTCAGGCCGCCACAGGCGCCCCTGACATGAGTCACATCGAGCTGGCCACGTCCACCTTGGCCACGCCCCCCGAGGTCAAACACAACCCTGATGAGGCCCTCAATGAAATCGAGTTTGACACCCCTGATTTAAGCCAATAGGAACATACACGGTAAAGGGTTCTCTGAGGGCATACAATGAAGCCAACTTGCTGAACTAAGAATCTTGGATTGAGTTAATGCCTGGGTAGAAGAGACATTGGGAATCCTTTCAAAGTTGCTGTGAGTTCCATGAGAAGATGACACCCACAAACACTGTCAATCAAGGATGCATTCATGTCCATGAGACATACAGCAAAGGCATTGCAGTGCATTGTGGCACTGGATTTTTTTTTCAAAAGCAAATCAAATTCCCCTGATAGAGCCTCTGCAATATAATCTTATTAAAATTAACTATATAATTATGGAAATTATAGAAATAATTTCTATAAAACATCCCCAGATACTGCAACCCACCTATAAAACTATATACACCTAATCACCATCTGTATCTCCCTCATTTTCCAGCCCTTTCTTTAAAAATCTGAACATACAGTATGTCACAGAAGTGAGTACATTCCCTCACATTTTGTAAATATTTAAGTATATCTTTTCGTGTGACAACACTGAAGAAATGACACTTGGTTACAATGTAAAGTAGTGAGTATAAAGCTTGTATAACAGTGTAAATGTGCTGTCCCCTCAAAATAATGCAACACACATCCATTAATGTCTAAACTGCTGGCAACAAAAGTGAGTTCAGATTGTGTCAAGCGTGTGTGGCGGCAACCAGGTGAGGAGTACAAAGACAAGTGTCTCTTGCCTACAGTCAATGGTGGTGGGACTGCATAAGTGCTGCTGGCACTCGGGAGGTACAGTTCATTGAGGGAACCATGAATGCCAATATGTACTGTGACATACTGAAGCAGAGCATGATCCCCTCCCTTCGGAGACTGGGCCGCAGGGCAGTATTCCAATATGATAACGACCACAAACACACCTCCAAAACAACCATTGCCTTGCTAAAGAAGCTGAGGGTAAAGGTGATGGACTGGCCAAGCATGTCTCCAGACCTAAACCCTATTGAGCATCTGTGGGGCATCCTAAAACGGAAGGTGGAGGTGCACAAGGTTTCTAACATCCACCAGCTCCATGACATCATCATGGAGGAATGGAAGAGGACTCCAGTGGCAACCTGTGAAGCTCTGGTGAATTCTGTGCCCAAGAGGGTTAAGACAGTGCTGGAAAATAATGGTGGTCACACAAAATATTGACACTTTGGGCCCCATTTGGACATTATCACTCACTTTTGTTGCCAGCAGTTTAGACATTAATGGCTGTGTGTTGCGTTATTTTGAGGGGACAGCACATTTACACTGTTATACAAGCTGTATACTCACTACTTTACATTGTAGCCAAGTGTCATTTCTTCAGTGTTGTCACATGAAAAGATATACTTAAATATTTACAAAATGTGAGGGGGTGTACTCACTTCTGTGACCTACTGTACATATATTTATGATCTCCACAACAAATATAGACAGTAGATTGGGCAGATATGAGGAAAGCCAATGAAGCTGCAGTTGAGAAATCAGAAAAAAGGAAGTGAAGAAGGTTGGAATACAGAAAGAAGAAGTAAAGAAGACATAGGCAAATTTCTAGAAAAATTCACGAGAAGAGGAAGGTATCATTGGGATGGCGAAATGCAAAAAGACTCAAAAACAAGAACCCACCAAAGTTAAAGGTAGAAGAGAAAAAAAACTAAAGAGAAAGCAGCACGTTAAGCGTTTTCAAAGAAAGGAAATGTGGAAGTTTTGAGCTGCAACCAAGAGACACATTTTTTCCTGCTTGCTCTAAATATATTTTTGAAAGTTACCATGGGCATGTAGACATTATGAGGGTTGCCTGGGTTGTAATATGCACTTGCAGCAGCTTCTGCAGCCTTAGCTTCAGCTGCAAAAAAAAAAACAACCAACAACACATATTAGTGATTATTGTTTAATTATTGTGACTCTAGGTGGCTTACAATAAAAATAGATAAAACGGATACAGTATAACAAATAAAAACACACAGCACCTGAGCATCCAACAATTGTGTGAAAGCCGTTTATGGATGAGTTCCGTAGATTCAAATAGATAGAAAAAAACCAGAGCACTTACAGTAGGTTTAGAAATAAGAGCTGAGTGTGCATATTGTACTCAACTGCTGAATAAAATGATTTGTTTTCTTTTGGCTTAACATGATGGGTGAATTTATATATTATGGCCTGTAAACCATGGTTTATGCTTAGCATGTGTAGGAATCTAGGCAGTTGTGGTTTAATCAAGTAAAGACATAATATAAAAGTCTTTTTGATAACTATTAAGCTGGAAATTAGTGTTGAACCTGAATGTTCAAATCACTGTCATATTCTGTGCTAGTTCACATCAAACAGATCCAACCGTCATTTAATACATTGTATAATCCCTGTTGTAATTCTCTTGTCATTTTTGCCCAAAGCTGCTGTATGTTTTTTTTCTAGAGGAATGCAATCAGCTACTCAAATTCTGTGAAGTCCTCTAAAGTTATTCAAAGGACAAGGCTAAAACAAGGCAGCAGTTGGTGTCATTCAATTCTTGCTTCAAAGAAGGAATACTGCTTTAGCAAACCATCATCTCTTGTATTACACAGGATTGAACTTGCTTCTCATATTTCCCTAAATGCAGTGTAAGCTAAGCACAGAAACCCTACTGTCCTTTAATCATATAATAATAGGATTATTCTGTTTAGCTAAAAAGGGCTTGTTTCCACCTACTTCCAATTGCAAACAGAGCACCAATTGCAAACAGAGCACCATTCTGTATTTTGGGATATAGTCAGGGGTGGGCTGCTAGGGGTTCACAAGGGTTCGGGAGAACCTCTAGCTAAGATTCTGTGCAGTTTGGAGAATCCACAAATCCCACTCCTGGCTGGCCCTGCCCACCTCGCCCCTCCCCTCCCTGGAGTCCCCACGCGGTCTGTTTTGGATGCAGGTAAGTGCAGGGTGCACGCGGCAGCTCAAGGAGGGCAAAAAACAGGCCTACCGGAAGTTCGGGAAGGCTGGAAACAGGCCCGTTTCCGGCCTCAAGAGGGCCTCCGGAGCCTGGGGAGGCCATTTTCACCCTCCTGGAGGCTCAAAGAAAGCCTCTGGAACCCAGGGAGGGCAAAAACGCTCCTCCCCACCATGGTGCAGGAAGCCAACTAGGCCATGCCCACCCAGCAACTGGGCAGAGAACCCCTTGCTAAAATTTTTGAAGCCCACCCCTGGATATAGTCCTGCTCAGTATTCAACTCAGACCTACTGCAGGGATATGTTTCAAGAACTGTGACCCTTACTATTTTAAGAATCAAACTAGAAGTTTCTAAAAGCCACAGTCAGGGTAAAAAGCTGAAGTCTTTCCTGATTCCCTTCTTCTCCAGGCAGATGTCTAGTTTTTGTGCACAAGAGGAAGATCATACCCTCTGACATACTGCCACTCTTCAACAATAACAGGCCTGTTGCCAAACACTGACTCCAACACCAAACATTGAATTTGCCTCTAGAATTTTCTCTCTCTTGTTCTTTGCTAATAATACATATTATACAGTGAAAGTTTCCTCTTTGTTTTGTAATATTGGTTAAAAACTCCTAGTCTGTGCTGTTGGACAAAATTATAGTCAAATGACTAGGGAAGAGTTTAGGAGAAAATGGAATCAATTCAAGCATATAATGTAATTTATATAATGAACCGTGAGGCCTGGCTTTTGGCACACTTTGTATCCATATGCACGTAGGAATATATGCCCAGCATGCATTTCTTTTTCTTGTATATTTTTTCTAAATTCTTTCTAGTGTGGTTTATTATTTTTATTTTGTATTCAATTAATTGAAAACATATTATATTAAAAAGCCATGTAAATAAAACTTGTGCTGTTATTCTGTCTTTATAGGAATTAACCACCTGCCATTTTTTACGGAAAACTCAGCCCTTCCTAGGTTTATATATGGGGAAATTTGCTGGATGTTTTGCCTTTTTGTTGGTGATACACAGGGTGAACAAATCCCCTTTTCCCTTTCTCTATCAACTGGATTTGCGAAGCTTTACAATAACAATAGGCAATTCCTTTATAAATAGATTTAGTTTGAGGCCCTACGAGGGAGATTAATAGAGTTTCAATTGTACCATTTTTAGAAATTAGCCATCCGAGTTAAAATTACGTCTCTACAGAACAGCTTTCCAAAACATGTCTTCTTTTAAATGGGCTTTATCAACAAAACAAATGCTAATATGGTTTGCTAAGCCTAGAACAGCCTTTCCCAATCTGGTGCTTTCACAACGTATTGTTTGGGAATAACAGAGTAGTATACCAACATACTGGCAAGGCACAAGTTAGAAAGGTTGCATACGTGAACCCTGATTCAAAGGCTTTGTGCCAATCTATCATTTTTCAGAAAATTTCCTATCTTGGCCTGTGTGCAAACATCTTACCTGCTGGAGTGGTGGGAAGATCTGGGCCAGCAGCAGGTGGCTCCATAGGCCCAGGATAGGGAGGAGGCGGAAGCTGCATGTATCCCATAGCACCATCCATTGGTGGACCAGGATACAATTCTAGGACAATGGAAAAAGACAAGTGTGAAGCACTGCAAAAACAATTAGCTGAGACAAACCTCAGTTTCACTGAAATGCCTACCTTCAAATTGACCTTTTTAGGTACATTAAAGAGCCCAATTTATAAATATATTAAAAAAGAAGAAGAAGAAGAAGAATTCAGAAACGGACATATTATACCATAATATGGCTCATGCTGCAATCAGAGCTATTTCAGATATATTTCTGACCATGCTAACTGCTTCCAGCTTGTCCAGATTGGCTCCCTTGTGATTACACGGCGTCTGAACACTTTCATCAACCTATGAAAGGTATGGAGAAGTATTGGGACAAGGATGAACCATGTAATACCCAGTCGAAACTTTGTAAGAACTAAAAGCAAGTGCTTTTACGCAAAACAAACCTTGCTTACACTTAACAAGGGAGTTGCCAGTTTGGGTGACAATTGAAAATAGGCAAAAATCAGGATGAAAAATCGGATAAAAACTTGGTTTCCTTAACATATTTCTAACTGAAACATTAGTTAAAAGTTGCCTTCTTTTACTTTCAAAACTCACCAGGTGGCGGTGGTGGATAAGGGTATCCCGAAGGAGGAGGAGGAGGATACATCCCATTGGTAGCAAGTGGTGGGAAGGTATAGCCCCCATTTGGCATGTAGGAGTAACCATAGGCTCCATTGGGAACTTCTCCTCTTGAAGCTAGAAAACAAAGATGAATAAGTTAATTCAACCGAACGGACAGGAAGTGTTTCAGGAATACAACAGCAAGAACCCACTTCCATAAGACAATGGCACGCATGGAACTCACTGACATCACAATACCAATTAAATCAACAACTAGCAATATCAGTAAATTACAGGTCTTGAGTCTCCTACACAGATGGTCCCTGACTTACAACCATTCATTAAGAGACCATTTGAAGTTACAATGGCACTGACACAAGTGACTTACAACCAGTCCTCACACTTATGACCATCAGAGCATCCTGTGGGTGCTTGGCAACTGGCATGTATTTATGATAGTTGCAGTGTCCTGAGGTGATGTGATCGCCATTTGCAACCTTCCCAGCTGGCTTCTGACAAGCGAAGTCAATGGGGACAACTGGATTCACTTAATGACTGCATGGTTCGCTTAACAACAAGAGTGATTTGCATAACAATGGTGGCAAGAAAGGTCGTGCAACTGCCTTGTCTAGCAATCTAAATTAGGGTCCCAATGGTAGTTGTAAATCGAAGACTCCCTAAAATTCTGCTATATTCTTTAGTTCTATCACGTCTTTTTCACAACAGGATTTGTGAAGCCTGGTGCAGTAGCAAAAAAAAAATGAAGCCAACAGCATTGCAACACAGTTCTGGCTTACTGTTTAGAGGCTCTAATGCATGGGTGTCAAACTCGCCGTGTTACGTTGCTGTCACGTGACACTTTGCAACTTTTTTCCCCTTCGTGGAGCTGGGGTGGCCTGTGGGCTTCTGGTTTGAAACCCCTGCTCTAATGTATCAGATAGAAACAGAGTAGAAATGCAGAAACACAGAGCAAGCAGAACCGCCTAAGTCCAGCATTAAATTAGTCAGTGGAAGAAAACAGGACACTAGAGAAATGAAACTTTTCTCTGTCTCATGAAAGTTGATTTGGTACTAGTAAGAGTTCAGAGGCAGCAGGAGGGACCGGGGAAAGGATGTGGTTGATTAGAAAGGTGAGTGAGAAGAAAGGCTGTCATTCTGCCCTTAGCAGAAAGGAGATCTGAAAACAGAACTGACAACTGATAATCCATTGGTTTATGGCATAACAGACATGGGTGGTCCTTGATTTATGAGCACAACTGAGCCCAGAATTTTGGTCATAAATTGTTGCAGTTGACCTGACTCAATTTTACAACCATTTTTATGATGGTCATTATAAAACCATTTTATCATTACAGTTGTTAAGCATACTATGTGGTCATTAAATGAATCCAATGGCCGTTTTTTGCTGGAAAATAGGGGGAAAAAACCACTGCAAGGATGCTGCAACCAATCATAAATATGAATTACAAATTATTTTGTAATTAGCTTTCTTTTAATTCCCTCAACTGTTTTAAATAATCCAGGCATGTATCCTAATCTGAAACACATTTTCAACTCTTCGTCAAGGGACACCCAGATTTTCTCTCCCACTGTAGCCGATCTTCTTCCATTATAAATACCTTGAGATGCTACTTGTAACATACGCTGTCCAAACTCAATGGCACCTCCAGCTGAGAATGTCATTTTGAACGTTGCAGATCCTTCCCAACCACCTAGTAAAATAAGATAAGATAGGTGGAAAAAGTAAAATGAGCTTGTCTATTACAGGTTATTTTATAAAGGCTCCTGAAATCCTTATAAGGCTCCTCTTCTATCATCTTTCCATTCAGTTTCAGCCTTTTATAAAAGCATGTATAAAAGCAACTTTAGAAAACGAGGGTCGTATTCTCTTTTTCTCCTTATTTTACAGAGTTGGGCTGACAGACCAAAATCACCCAGCCGGCTTTCATGCCTAAAGAGGGACTAGAACAGATAATTTCCTGCTTTCTTGGCCAGCATTTAACCACTGTACCAACATGCTCTCTACTTGTTGCTACTTTTAAGAGCAGATACACACTTTCAAACTGTGGAGCCAGAAATAATAATAATTTTTTATTTAGATAATAAAAACTGAGAGCTAGCTAATTCTGATCATTTGTGAATATAATTGTTCCTACCTCTACAAAACAAATATAAAAAACTGGTTACTATTTAATGGCAGGGAGAATTGGGTGAAATCTTTTTTCTATAATGGTTGAGCAAAGTACAAAAATGTAATTGAGTACAATACACACACACACACACACACACACACACATATATATAATGTGGAATGATGATAATGTTGCAGGGAGATGGATTTTAAACAACAAAAAAAGATCTGTGCTTTCAAGAGCCATCAAAGGCCAGGAAAGAAAAACAACAACAATAATTTGCAAACAATAACATTACATAGATTAAATTTGTTCTGAGCGAGCCAGGGCAAATTTGATTTGTTAAAACATCTTCGCAATTATTCTTCAGATAGCCATAAATCAATCTAGAATGGCAACCATGTGAAGTGAAATTAAATAAGAAATAGGAGTTTATCTGGGCTAAAAATTATACGGATTATAGGAACAATTTAGAGCTGCAAGACTGGAAGAAAACCACCAAACATATCATCAATGTGGCTGAAGTCCTTTAAATTTGGGAGCTTCCATAAAATTAAGGGGGCTGTGTTTTAGCCCCTGTTCCTCAGGCATCATCCATCACATAAGAATCATGTAAAAGTACAATGTTTCTGAATTACTTAGTTGACTTCAACCCCTATGTACGGAAAGCAATGTGATGCCCATGGAGATCCATGTACATATATCCTTGGCATCTGCTAGGCTTCCAATCATCTGACGTGCATTTTAGTTAAAAGAAACTAAATGGGAAGTGAAGATACTGAAAAATAAAACTTCAGCCTCTGCTGTTATCTTTATTTAACAAGAAATACTTTTGTATTCCATATATAAAGTGGTAGTAATGAAGGCCAAGTGCTGGATTTGGAAGTCTGGCTATGTGCCCATAAAAAAGGACAAGTGTGTTGGGGTGATAAGAAATATCCTAAGCGGGTCAAGACATAATGAATTATTTTACCTCCTGGTAAACAGGTGTATGTGAGTAGTCACAACCACATAGACAGTAGCCATATCTCCTCTATTGTAGCCATTTTTTAATAGTATGCCTTCGAAACTCCAGGTGTGCTCATCAGCACAATTAAATCATTGCCCATACACCACCCTAAAAGTAAAATACTGAAAAGATTTGTTCAGTATGACCACACATTTTAAAAGATCCCTTATCTCCCAGGTAGATTAGAAGATTGGATATTTGAAGCGGACTGATACTGAGCATCACTCAGAAGTAAGGCTCTCGGCTCTTTTAATACAATATAAAATGGCATAAATGGACATTGTCATATTCCATTCTTCTGCTAAGACAAACTTCATGAGATACAGCAGGGAAAAAAAAACTGTTTAAGAGCTTTCAAGACAATTAGATATGAAACTTGCAATCAAATAGAACTGCACAGCCATCAAAAAGCAACCAAGATAAGAATCCTGCTATAGATTAATGACCTCTGTGGGATCTCAGAATGCTGCATGTCATAAGCCATTTAACTTAAGCAGATGAAGTACAGTGTCTGATTTAGCTTTACTATCAAAAATAAAAAAGATGAGATCCATTTTTATGACATCTTGCTTCATCCTATTTAATGAAAGTAGGCAATGGGGGTGGTCAATGTTTTCATCAGTTTTGAAAACTCTTGAAAAGTTTCCATATTCTGTATTATGACTTTTTTCCTAATGCTTCTAGTTGAGCTCTATAGTTTGCAAAGAAGTGTGTGTGTGGGAGAGGACAACTGTTCACGCAAGGGAAATCCAGCCACGGTTTAAGATAAAAATGTTAAAAAATTCAAAATTCAAATAAAATTTGAAATATAAAACAAGAATACATATTTTGTACTCATGTAAACAATAACTACTGGAGTTTCCCAAAATAACAACAACAACAACAACAACAACAACTATTGTTATTGTTATTGTAATTGTTATTGTTAATTGTTGTTGTTGTTGTTGTTATTATTATTATTATTATTATTATTATTATTATTATTATTATTATTATTTGCAAGATGAGACCAGAGTCAGAGAATTGAATGGGAACAATACTGCTGATCTTGGAGGTATCCCTCCCATCAGTTCAGGTACTACCGTGTTTCCCCGAAAATAAGACCCTGTCTTATATTTTTGTGAACCCCGAAATAAGCGCTTGGCCTTATTTTCGGGGAAGTCTTATTATTTTGGGACGCGTAGAGCAAGACGGGGCTCCTCTTGCTGTCTTACCTGATTTCCAGCTCTGTATTTCAATATTTTCAGGGAGGGCTTATTTTCAGGGGGGGGAGGCTTATTTTAGCACATGCACTCAAAAGCCCGATTGGGCCTATTATCAGGGGATGTCTTATTTTCAGGGAAACAGGGTACGAAAGACCATTCTCTTCTTTAGCATAGAAGATTTGGTTTAATCATGACTGTTGAGACAAACATGCTTATTTGGTCTTTCGTTATAAATAAAGTAGCAAGAATAATAATATTCAGAACAACAGAGTTGGAAGGGAACTTGGAGGTCTTCTAGTCCAACCCCCTGCCCAAGCAGGCGATCCTGTACCATTCCCGACAAATGGCTGTCCAACCTCTTCTTAAAATCCTCTAATGATGGAACACCCACAACTTCTGAAGGCAAACTATTTCATTGATTAATGGTTCTGTCAGGAAAGCACTGCATGCATTATTTCAAATGTGATCTTACCAAGGCAATGTATAGCTATACTAATATTTCAAATGACCTTGATACTATCCCTCTGTTGACGTAGCCTAGCTGCATTGGCTTTTTTGGTAGCTGCAACACAGGTTCATATGTGATTGTCCACTTGGACTCCTACATCTGTCTCACAATTACCACTGTTGAGCAAGGTACCATCTATTCTATACCTGTGCATTTGGTTTTTGTTGCCTAAATCTAAAACCTTAATTTTCTCACTAGTGAACTGCATTTTTTTAAATAGGGCCCAGTATTCAAATCTGTCAGGATTTTTCAAATCTTGAGCCTATTGGCCATTCCTCCTAGTTTGATGCTGCCTGCAGATCTGATAAGTTACCCTTCTATCCCCTCATCTAAATAGTTTATGAAGATGTTGAAGAATATTGGATCTAAGACAGAAACTTGGGGTTCCCCACTGCACACTTCCATGTAGATTTAGTTCCATTGAGGACTGAGTGTGGTTGGTCAGAATACATCTATCTATCTATCTATCTAGGTTGTGGTCTACTTTGTCAAATACCTTTCTGAAGTCCAAATATATTTGTCCACAACATGTTCACTCTCTATGTTCTATGCTCTCTATTTTCACCCTCTGAATATGTCACCAACATCTGTTACTCCAATGCATAATTATTCTAAACATTTCACTATCACAAAGTAATTACAGTACTCACAACTCATTTAATTTTTTTTGCAAGTAAATTAAGATGAATTCATAGTTCATTGCGAAGACGATGGAGTAGAATAATCCCAATAATTTGTGAATTGATTTTTGTACGAACAGCATAAATCAAATGCTAAAAACACAGGGGTACTTACCTCCTGCCTCTGCTTTTACTACGCCCTTAATATAATTTGCTCCAAACACGGGTTGCTTAATTTCACATTCTTTCATTAAATAAAAGGGCATCATGAAAGACTGCATTGCATCTTTTCCCTTAGATACAAAAATAACCTGCAGGCAAAATGAGTACAGATTTTTAATGTTTAGAATCGGAAAACCAAAACACTAGATTTCATTGCTACACGCTAAGAAAATCTCAAATGATATTTTATAACTAATATTTCAATTAATGCTTCCAAATTCTTTGGAAAATAGGAACCAACAATTTATCTGATTGATACTATGAAACAGCAATATTAATCTATTTCTAGATAGCTTTTAAATTCTCAAGAAGCTCAGCTGATGTACAATATTAATCAAATAGCAATGGCAATAACATTTAAGCTTATATATCGCCCCATAGTGCTTTATAGCACTCTCTGAGCAGTTTACAATATCAAAGCATTATTTGCATACTGGCTGCTACAATCTGGGTCCTCATTTTACCAACCTGGGAAGGATGGAACCTTCCCAGGTTGGGAGTCAACCTTGAGCCTCATCAGGATGAACTCCTGGCTGTTAGCAGAGTTTGCCTGCAATACTTAACCACTGCACCACCAGGGCTCTTATCCAAAGTGCTTGAAATACCCACCTGCCCATGTACTTTTAAGTTACTGAAGCAATTCAGCCATTCTAGCACCTCTTTTTTACTAGCTCCAGCTTGCTCTCCCAACATAATTCTAATACTGCTTCATACTGCAACCGAGAATACTCAAACTAGCCATTGGAAATGAAAACTCATCATAAAACTTCAAGGGATAAGGGCACTGCAAAATCATGCCATCTGTTACAAGGCCAAATCTTTTTTTTGTAAGCCCTCAGCCACTTCTTTATGTTGCCTAGAAGATCTGAACTTCAAATTATGGGACAGAAAAGGAGAAGAAAGGACAAGGCCAGCCTTACAACTACCACCTTTGCTGCTCCTATGTTAAAGTTCAACTCATTTTATGTTCCTTTTCCTTTGGCTTTTGGACGTACCAAGCATAAAAATGCTAATTCCAAAAGTCAGCCATCTTAACACAAATATTAAATGTAATTATCCAGTTTTTAACAGAAGAGGCTACATTGATACTTCTCCCATATCAACATAGTTAAACCAGAATACCAAAGGTTTAGATAGAGACAACTATCAGGAGTTTTAGGATATTTTTCTCTTTCCAAGTGTGCGTGTAAAAAACATACATTGCTGACTTACTCGATACGGAGTCATGAAGACACTGCCTTTCTTGGTCCCTTTAAATGCCTCTGGCATATGTTCCATATCATGGAATGTCATTTCAATGTGCTCGTAATTCATCAAGATGCTATACTCAAACAAAACAGACATCAGATACAAAGTTTTACTTTCTAGACATTCTTTTATATCTAAGACATATAAGCTTTAACACCAGTGGCACAAGATTTCAACAAATTTAGATTACTAAATACAAACAGGCACACAATGGTTATCAGTGAGGTTGTCAGCAATCCCTTTTGTTGAAAAACATGTACATGAAAATATCACCAAAAAATGAACCAACATTACTCCGCATGAGTAATACCAAAGGCAGTATTCTTAACACAGCCAAAGCTACTATGTATGAAATGGCATAATTCAGTAAAATGAATACTTTATTCCACCCTGTTTTAATACTGTAGCAGCAATACAAACTATTCCATCTGTCACTTGGATAGGATTGTTATTTCAATTCATGTATTTTGTGCAGCCTGAACTGAGACAAATTTTCAGCTCTCCTAGTCTTCTACTCTTCGGTAGGATTGACTGAAAAAGTTCCTATCAGCCTTTCTCAGTACTGTATAAGTTCCTAAGCTCTACAGAAATAAAACTAGTACTCTCTTCATATACCATTATTCTATAATCTTTGCTTATAATGGTGTTAAAAATCAGACATCAGCCTGATGATTTATTATCTTTTAATGCTAAAGTTATATTTTCATTTTTACACACTCTCTTTCATTGCTTCCAGTGAAGAAATTTATATAGAAAACTTTGTAATGTGAGGATATTCAATATACCCTGCCATTTCCAAAATGCAAAATGCTTTTTTTGACAGAAGAACAAAAAGGAATGGCAAAAGCATGTTCAGATAAGAAGAGCAGACATGGTGGTAGATTATACTATTTCATAATACTAACATGACATAAAGAAGCCTTCTTGTAGTTTAACTTTGCATTGGACAAAATTATTATAAGACTCTTATGGCGTAAACGCTTTCCTATTGTGGAAATCTGTACTGATTCAGCAATACATGAGTAGAATAAAGTTATAAATATATGAGAAATAGCTAAAACAAGTTGGAATAAAAGAAATCACTATGTAATTTGGAATGTTTACCTGTGTCAGCTTTCCAAAGCTGATACTGTTATACATTCTGCAATTCCTGTTTCCTTTAACGGTACATTTACAAATGGAGTGTTGCCACTATATCCATTGCCAATGTTCCAACTTTTATTCTCATTTGTTTTCTGAATTTTACTATTTATTCTCCCAGCTGTTTTTGTTTACTGCAGCTGGTATTCCTTCCAACTTCTTTCTCCAAAAGGCGTGTGTGGAAACGTGATTTTTAAACTGACTCTCCAACTGGCTTGCATCTATTGACTTTTTTTTTTTTTTTTTCTTTAATTTATATGCCGCCCTTCTCCGGAGACTCAGGGTGGCTTACAATGTGTTAAGCAATTGCCAGCTGCTCAGATTTGCGCATATTGCCAAGAACGGAAAAAGGTATCTTATATGATTGATATTTACTGCTAGTAATATCATCCTGCCATAGGTGAAAGGGAATAAGAAAGAAATCTTATTTGTTTCAAAGTATCTTCATGGGAAATGAGGGAATAAATTAAAGTCTTTGGAAACAAAAAACAAACACTCTTTACAAAATTTTACGAGCTGAGGATATTTAGAAAAATATGTTTTGCTCAGGAAAAGTTCTATTACACACAATTCTTAGCTGTTTTTCCATTGTTAGCTAATTTTGCTTTAATCTTACTATGCCTTCAGCTAAGAAATTTCTAGGAAAATGACCATTTTGCAGCATAACAAAAAAAGGGCATCGTACTCTAAAGACTAAGCCTATTTGTGATCGAAAGGATCGAGTCGATCACCCCCACAATGGAAAAAGCAAGAAAAGGCGAGATCAGGGAGGACGGGCGGCGAACTTTCTCTCTCCGCCCCTGGAGGCGGGGCATCTGCGAAAGGGCGGGGCCCCAGGAATCAGGAGCCGGGGAGTAAAGGGGGAAGAGCCGCTGACGCAGTATGCTCAGACCGGACCCCACGAGCCGCAAATGACGCCCCCAATACCTTTCGCTGTTATTGATAATGACGCCGCCTCCCTCCGAATGGTTCCTGTTCAGCGCCATGGCCGCTAAGCAACTGATGACTCTCTATCCAACACCCGCTGGACTGAGAGGCTCCAGCCGTTAATAAAGCGGCTCTACGCAAGTTCTGCGAGCGACTTCCGGCTTAGAGGAGCTCTAGGCAACAAACAGGACCGGAAGAGGAATACAGCAACGAGGGGCGATGCCAAGGCATGATGGGAAATGTAGTTCATTGGTTAAAAAGGTGGCTTTTGACCACGGTAAAATTTGCAGGAAAGTGGGAGGGGTGAAGTTTCTAATCACGAACTCCTGTCTGTATATGACGTTGGATAAGCACACTGGATTTCTGTTCACAATAGTTGATGCTTTAGGAAACGCAACTGTGTAATGTCGGAATAAAGTTTAAAGTTACATCATGTTAGTCTGAGGGAGTTTAAATTTTAAATCTTAAGTTTTGCTAATTAGATACAATACTTTCAGATTCTGATACTACTTATTTCGCTTCCTTAAAACTATCCCTACTGCATTTTGAGTTACTCCTTCATATTTTGGGGAGTATGCCCTTGGACCTATGCAAAAAAGTATTAATGGGCAACTCTCATAAGATGTTGCAAAAATAAAAGGCAAGAACGTAGGACGTAATGGAAGTTGCTGCTTCCAGACATATTTAGAAATATAGGTCACCTTGTAACTCATGTTCCATCTGAAGAATATTGGATGGATACTGAACCTATTTGTTACACAGGCACAATCGAAGGTTTCAATGTTAAATGGCTTGCAATCTGATTCTCAGAGACTGCTGATTATGTTAGGACCACATCTAGCTCTAACCAGTAAGAGCTGCAAGAGAAATTTTCTGATGTTCCTTTTGTCAAACTCATTCATAGTATCTGACACATAGAAGAGGGTTTATTCCTGTGTTGCTCCTAAACAGTAGAATGCCTTCTTTCTTCCATTATAAAGAAAGCTCGGATCATTTTACAGCCCATGAACCACATCTGGCCCTTTGGTTGTCCCTATCCAGCCTGCATGAGATCAATAAAAAATTAAGAGATCAAATGTAAATAAGTGTTGCCATGCATACAACTGCATTGCTTTTATTTTGGATGCAACTTTTAAAATGTGTGTATATATGTTAGTGCATGAATACTGACACATTTTCAGATCTCTATTAGTTCAGCCCTCCACAACAGTCCCTATTTCTTATGTGGTCTCTTGGGAAAATTAATTGCCTACCCTCGCCCAGATGCATCTCTAACCAAGCTCTTATAATGAATGCTTCTTTTGGTTTTAATGTATACCTTTGAATTTCTGTTGTTTTAATTTTGTATTTTCTAAAATTGCCAGATGCTCTCAGGGCTCAAGTAAAAAGGTGTAAAATAGTTTATTTCAATTTGGCTCATTCTATTTCTTTTCAGAACCCATTCTGTGGTTTGTACATAATGTGTAGTTTGTCACTCATACATAGTTGCTTAGTCATGTGAATAATGATTTTCACTTCCATTAATTCCTATACATAGTTGTGCTCTTCCCTAAAGGAACCCTCTATCCATAATATACAAAATAATTCGGCCACATCCTTTTTATACAAGCAAGTTGACTTTCTTCTGGCTTGTCTGTAATGAGCAGGCAAGAGGCAAACAATCTGTTATGTTTCTGACACATAACAGAAAATGTAATTTTCCCATTCACAGGAAGTTTTGTCTTGTTTCCTGAACTGATCTCTCAGGCAACTCTATCATGAAACCTGCCTCCATCCTTTGAATTTAATTCAGTAAATCAAGGAAACTTTTCAAATCGTTTGGATTTTTATAAAAACCTAAGAATTAAAATAAGTTTTTGAAATGTGGCCTTGCATTTTCCAAACCATTTCCAAATTATCACTTTTTACTAAATGGTTATACAATAATACAACTTAATTTTCCTAGGTACATTAAAAAGAAATTTTCAGCTGAAAGGATTGGATAATGAAGGAAGAAACAAGCAAACTCAAGAACCTGTTTTGAGGGGTATCTGTGAAAGTGATGATGCCCAATGCACATGGTGATATTATGCAAGTATTAACCTACATCATCTTCTAATATCTGGTACAAGCATGTAACTCATTGCATCTGCATGATATACATGTTTCGTCATTTGCCATTACACCACTCCTATGGATCCCTCCAATTCTTAAAAAAAATGCAGCGTTTTTATAATGGGAACATATCTTCTCTGCTGTTCTCATTGTGTATAAAACACAGATGCTTATATTAGAAGCTCAAGAGCATATGTAGAGAATCCATTTGGCTTTATTCTGGTCATGAATGCCAACAAGAATAATCAAGTAATGCCTCCTCTCCCATTTGCTGCTTCAATGCTTTAGGGAGGGCATTAAGTTCACCATTAATAAGTGTGAATGGAAAAAGAACAACTCATGATTTTGAGTCTGCCCTTTTAGCTATCTCAGTAATTTTGAACCATTAGATGTCATTAACCAGATTTTTAGTTTTCTCAAACACCAGAATGTACTAGCTCAATGTTTCATTTCACCCTCCTTCAACATTACTGTATGTTTTTTTTACAATAAAATGGAGTAAATCATCTGAAGGCCACATAAAGGTAGCAGAAAGCACATGGAACTGAGACAAGCTTGACTTTTAGTCTTTGCCACATAGAACAGGCACATATACTGCCAAAGCAAAATAAATAAAAACATATTTTTGTGGTTTGAACAATTTTTTAATTCCAATTTATTGTGGTTTATGCCATGGATTTTTATAACAAAATTTCCTGGCTAGCCCAGCTGTGGATAAAACACATTTTTCCGAAGTTTTCTTCCAAACTAAATGCTCTGAGAACCTTGTGTACAAATGAAACCTTATGATCAGATGTGGAAGAATAACTACGCAAGACCATAATGTAATGAATGAGAGCTAGGAATATTAATTTTTAACCACATTATGACAAGATTAATGCTGGATTGTTTAGAAAGCTTAGAATACCTGTTGTATTCAATGGTCTAAGAATAATTATCATGTGATTATAAATGATTTCATGCCCTAAAGATTTGTATTGTTGTTAATCTTTAACCAGGAAATATAAAGGAATTTCCAGTCTGCAGCCTCTCACTGGTGTCTAGCCTCCACATTTCCTTTTCATAACATTTGAAGCTTCCCCTCTGCTATCAAACTTGGCAGCATGACTGATAAAATATAATGATGTAGTTTCCTGAGAAGCTGAAGCAGATGACTCAAAAAACCCCTACACTTTAATTCACCTTAACACCTTAAAAAAAAATCAATTCTCATCCTGAATGGGGTGAGAACAGGATTTTCTTTTAAAAAAGAAAATCGTGTCCCAGTCATATGTCTGACACAACTCTACAAACTCCTCAATTTAAGTGTGGCCTTGCTTCCATCAACCAGTTGTTCCATAAATCACAAAATACAGGACCTCACCCCTTACAATAGCTGCATCATAAAAATGAAGGAGCAAAGTGTCTACCTCCCCTAACTGGGATCATCTGCATGTAGATCCTCTCTTCACAGAACTGTGCCTTCTGTCCTGTTAGGGCAGGGGTGTCAAACTCAATTTCATTGAGGGCAGCATTAGGATTGTGTTTGACCTTGGGGGGGATCATGATGGGCATGGCCAGCATGATATCACTTGTGTCGGGTGGGGGCATGTGGTGGCCCAAGCACTCTGCCAGCGAAAACGGGCTCCCAAGCTCCATTTTCAGCTAGGATGGCCTCTTGCAACCCTCTGCCAGTGAAAACAGAGCTAGGGGGAGCCATGTGCGGCCCTTGCGAACTCTGGTTTCGCTGGTCCTTTGCTATTTCCAGGGTGGCCCCGCGGGCTAGATCTAAGCACCCTGTGGGCCAAATCTGGCCCCCAGGCCTTGAGTTTGACACCCCTGTGTTAGGGACAATGAAATCCTCTCCACCATCTTGAGTGCCCCTTCTGTCAAGTCCTGCAGTGATGGCTCCATCTATTTCAGTAACTAACCATCTTTAAATATTTAAAAAGTCCTAATTTCAAAGTAGAGTGGATTATGTACTACTTTGACTTTCTTACAAATTCAAACGTATGTAATCTATTTATTAAATTCTGTAACCTTCCTAACATTAATTGGATATAAATTTAAGATACTAGATTGCAACATGCAATTCAATATGTACATCATGTACATATCATTTTTTTCCTTTATAGAAAGATGGTGAAAACTTTTTTTGAAAAAAAAAACACAAGGCGTGTATTTCAGCACTATGCTGCAGTGCTTTCATTAAGGGAAGGATACACAAACAAAACTATAAGGACCCCACATTTTTTTAATGAAAGGCAGGAACATTTCAGTGAGGCCCAGCAGCAAAGAAAAGTGCTCTTATTAAATTAATTTCATGATTAATCAAATTTACTATACTTTCAGTTTGGATACAGGATATAATGTAACAAAATACGTTTTGAAGGCAAATAATTTACTCATTAATACTGCAAAACTCTCTTGTATCAATGTAATCCTGAGATCACAGAATTAATGAAGTGGGCTAGCATTAGATTAACGTTTCAAAGAACAAAATCTTCCTGTGATTGCAAAAAAACCTGTCTCTAAATTTTCTCCTCATTCAATTCTAATTTACATTATGAATGCTCATAGCATATTATCTTCTAGAAAGAATTCAATGGATGGTTTATTTGAACTCAGCTGTCAATCCTGTTCTAAACAAAACAATCTAAAAAAAGTCACAAAACAATTTAAAAATAGCCTAAGTTTAATGAAAAACTTGGGTCTCCTCATAGGTTGAAATCTTTTTTTTTTTTTTAACAATAGCAGCTAGAATTTCCTCACCACTTCTACCACCATGACTAAATTATGGTAAATTTATAAATGTTTTACAGTGTTCTCTTAGTATATTTGAAAAGGATGGATTTTATACACTTCGTATCCTTGTTATACATGAAAGTTCAATCCCTATTCTCTGAGTCTTTTTTCCATTGTACTTCAATGGATATGTACTCAAAATACAGCTAAGAAAAGCAGAATATATCATAGAAATAGGAATCTGCGGTCCTTCAGAGGCTAATAAGCCTCAACTTCCATCAGATTCAACCAGCCAGTGATTGCAGAAAGCTACTGAATCTCCATTTTTATAATACTTCTGTGCCTGTAA